TAAACCCTAAAACCCTAAACCATTCAGATTTCGATTTGCGAGGATCTGAACTTCGCGCTCCAGAGCCGCGCCGATGCACGGGAGGCGCAGGAGGCCTCCAAGAGTTCCCCGAACAAACCGGGGAGGTTTGGGGTTTAAGGGTTTAGGGTTTAGGTTCTAGGGGATTTAAGGCGTCTAGAGTTTTAGGATTTTGGGCTTAGGTTTATTGGGTTTGGGATTCTTTTATGATTTTTGTTTAGGCGGGTTCCGCATTTGTTGGTTCAGGGGTTTACTGTTGCAAGGTCTGGGGTCGGGTCCTAGTCCTGGTTGCAACTGCTTGGTTGGACCTTCTCGGCCTGTACGTCTGGGCTTTGAACTCGAAGTTCTGAAGAGTTGGAAGCCTGAAACACCGCCAAAAGGCCCAAGTGGTTCAGATTCTACCTCTGCAGCTTGGGGGCCCTGGGTAGGTAAGCAGCGGCAGATCTAAGATTTCGCAGCACCTAGATGCGAACTTGCAGCAGAATCACGGAGAAACTTGCTCCTTTTGTTGGCCGATGGCCGCAGCTGGATTGCCTGCACCTGTACGTCTCAGAGCACTGCTGTAATACGGAAGGATTCGTTTCACATGGTGATGTTCTCCTTAACCCCAAACCCTAAACCCTAAATTTAAACCCTAAACGCTAAACCTTAAACCAAAGCAGTCCCAAGCCGAATTAAACAGCATATGAAAACATCGACTGCCAGGCTGCAGCGAACACGCAGGCGCGAATCTGTTCTCTGCGATTCTGTCGGTGTGACCCTAAGCCCAAACCTTCCCAAAACCCCCAAAACCCAAAGCTTTAAACCCGAAGCCCTAGCTACCCGAAACCCGAGCCCGAAACCCTGAACCACCTAAGCCTAATCCAACTTCGGACCTTGAAGCATGCTCAGCGTCGTGGAAAGCGCTTGATCGTTTTACAGTTGCCTCTTAAGAGGAGCACAAACCCCAAACCCTGAACCAAACACCAAACTCACGCAGCCTGAACTATATAATTAATATACGGGCCTAAAGAGTTACCAATACTATTTTTGAGGGTTCCTTATTATACTTATAGTATAAGGGGCTCCAAGACCCTATTCTAATTATTAAGGCTTCTACATGAGACCCCAAAGCTTAAGTTAGGGCTGAGGCGGAGTTTCAAGAGGCGTTGAGTTGCCTGAAGAGAAATTAACGATTTAGGGTTTAGGGTTTAGGTTTGGGGTTTACGGTTTAGGGTTTAGGGTTTAGTTACACCTACACTTCTCGCGCTTGCAAGAGCCGGGGTTTGCGGCCCTGAGCGACCAGCTGTGAACCCTCTAATATAGAAGCCGAAAGAATTACCTATACTATCTTGGGGGTTCCTTATCATAAT